CGCGTTCGGCGGCCTCCTTCTGCGACATGACGTCGCGACAGAAGGAGGCCACCGCCTCCCATGCTTCCCGGCTCTCGAGCATCTTTGGTATGATGCTCGGGAGCCGGAGATCCTGGCCAACCACTGTGGTGAGGACTCCGCGTTCCTGAGCCCACGCTGGGCACTCCTGTAGCGTGTGCTCCGCAGAGTCTTCACCAGCCGCGCAGTGGTGGAATTGTGCCGTGCGCTCCTTGCCTATTCGACGCAGGTATCGACCGAAGCAGCCGTGCCCGGTCAACACCTGTGTCATGTGATATGACAGCCCGCCATGTGCCCTGCCCACCCATTGCAGCAGGCAGGGACGGATGGCCGCGATGGTCCGGATTCCCGGCATGTTCGGGGCCCCCAGCGATCTTTGCCATCGCCGGAGGGCCCTACGCCGGGCCGAGTCGCGTATCCTCTGCACGTCCCTGGCCGTAACCAGATGGTCTCCCTCTCGCCGACGGAGCTCCGCGACCCTGTTGTACGTTTCGGCGTACAACCTCGCCAGGAGCTCCGCCGGTATCATGCCGGCCAGGGCCGTGACGGCTGCATGCGACACCGTCCTGTACGCCTTGACTAGGCGGGTGGCCATTAATCGCTGCGCACCGTGCAAAATTTGCACGATGCGCCGCTTGGCCCCCGTCCTTTCCGCCCAAACTGGCGGCCCGTATAGGGCAATGGACGTGACGGTGTTCGCATACAGCCTGCGAACTCGGTTGTCCGGACCACCGATGTTGGGGAGGAGGCTGCACAATGCAGCCGCGACTCTCCCCAACTTGGGACTCAGCCTCTCAAAATGAGAGGTGAAGTCCCACCGGCCATCCAGGTGGAGCCCCAGGTACTTGATGCCTGGGGTCACCTCCACGCGGGCTGACTCTATCATGATGCTGGACCTCGGGGGGACCCCCGCAGACCGACCGTACACGAACATACACTCGGTCTTTTGGGGGGCCACCCGTAGGCCCAGCCGCCGTATGGAGCGCACGGCACACGCTACGGCTACATTGGCTGTAGCCGTAGCCTCCTCCCAGTCGG